CGAATACTAGTACTAAGGAGATTATTAATACTGAGGAGATTGGCAAGGGAAAAAGGAAGAAAGTGCCTTTGACTAAGCTTCGTGATTATGTGACTAATACAGTGCAGATAATAAGTCCGGTCTCCTCGCCACCTGCCTCAGTTAAGACCTCAGGTACTGCTTTCCCTATAACCAGTTTTGTGAATTGTAACAAATTTTCTGTGGGACATAGAAGTTTTCTTGCAGCCATAACTACAGGTACTGAGCCCAAGTCCTTTCGAGAGGCTATGGAGGATGCTGGATGGAGGGAAGCCATGCATAGCGAGATTCGCGCTCTGGAAGAGAATGGGACTTGGGAGATGGTTGATTTACCCCCTGGAAAGCGGGCTCTAGGGAGCAGATGGGTGTACAAGGTGAAATACAATTCAGATGGGAGCCTGGAACGTCTCAAGGCACGTTTGGTCATATTTGGGAATCACCAGATTGAAGGAATCGATTACACTGATACTTTTGCTCCTGTTGCTAAGATGACTACTGTTCGTACTTTCTTAGCTGTAGCAGCTGTAAAGAGATGGGAGTTGCATCAGATGGATGTACACAACGCATTCTTACATGGAGATTTAAATGAAGAGGTGTATATGAAATTGCCACCTGGATTTCATGGGCATGCTCCAGGGAAGGTGTGCAGACTGCGCAAATCTCTGTATGGTTTGAAGCAGGCACCTAGATGTTGGTTTGCAAAGCTAGCAGGAGCGTTGCGTACGTATGGTTTTACTCAGTCTTACTCAGACTATTCATTATTTGGTTATATCAAAGGGAAAGTACAGATTAATATTCTGGTATATGTTGATGATCTGATTATTTCTGGGAATGACTCGGTTGCACTGTCTGAATTTAAACAATATCTGAGTAAATGTTTTCATATGAAAGATTTGGGTATTCTCAAATATTTCTTGGGGGTAGAGGTTGCTCGAAGTGCAGAAGGGATTTATTTATGTCAACGTAAATATACTCTAGACATTATTTCTGAGACAGGACTTCTTGGAGCAAAGCCAGTTTCTTTTCCAATGGAGCAGAATCACAGGCTCAGCACTTCTGAGAGCGCGGACTTGGAGGATCCCGAGGCGTACCGTCGGCTGGTTGGACGGCTTATTTACCTGGCTTTTACTCGACCAGATCTGGCTTATTCTGTTCATATTTTGTCTCAGTTCCTTCAGGCACCAAAGCAGGATCACTATGATGCAGCACTCAGAGTGGTTCGCTATTTAAAGGGATGTCCTGGACAGGGGATTTTGCTTCGAAGTGATTGTAATTTGACACTTACTGGGTGGTGTGATTCTGATTGGGCAAGTTGTCCTATTACCAGACGTTCTCTGTCAGGATGGGTTGTCTTTCTGGGGAGTTCACCTATCTCCTGGAAGACAAAGAAGCAGGTTACTGTCTCTCGCTCTTCAGCTGAGGCAGAATATCGATCTATGGCTGCAGTATTATGTGAATTGAAGTGGCTCAAAGGCTTGTTACTCAGTCTAGGAATTCGACACCCTGGTCCTATGCCAGTACACTGTGACAGTCAGTCTGCTATTCATTTAGCTCAGAATCCTGTTTTTCATGAGCGTACTAAACATATTGAAGTTGATTGTCACTTCCTTCGGGATGCTATTCGAGATGGGTTGATTACTACTGTTCATGTTCCTACAGTTGAACAGCTAGCAGATATTTTTACCAAGGCTCTTGGGAAGCAGCAGTTTCAGTTTCTACTCAGCAAGTTGGGCATTTGTGACCTTCATGCTCCAACTTGAGGGAAGGTGTTAGGAAAGAATATATGTTAGGAAATAATATATATATATAGTATATATTTTATATGGATGTTTGGAAAGAATATATGTTAGGAAATAATATATATAGTATATTGTTTTCCCTGATTATTAGCCTGTGATTACAGGTTTGTACGCTATATATTGAACACTCTGTGAATAATAAGAAAATGACCTTTCATCCCAATTTTATCATATTGGCTTGAATTTGTCCAAATGACCGGGGCTTATTTTGTTTTTTGAAAGAGGAGGGAGGTCGCTGTCAAGTCACCCTCACTTCTCTTCTCAAAGATCTTTCAACAATTGCGATTGATACCGAAGAAATTTTGTGAAAGGGAGGTCGTTGTCATTGATGTCACTTCGGGTAAAGAGAGGTAATATCAAGGTAGCCCCCCCGTTGGATTTATGTGAGATCTCATTCTCTCTTAAACTCTCTGTGCGTTTCAGAACCGGAGTGTGAGAGCTACACAAAAACCAGAGTCCTCTCAAAATTTTGTATGTGGGTTGTATTGAGAGATTGAATATAGTGAAACTCCTCTCTTGCCGTGGACGTAGATCAATTTGATCGAACCACGTAAACATTGTGTGTTTGTGATTGTCTCTCTATTTTTCTGGTTTTGTGTTTGATTATCCCAACAATTTTTGTCTCATTTAATTAGGAAATTATCCTGGGATTTCTCAATCTTCCCCAACAGCATTCCCTTCAAACTTTTTCTTCGTGGCATCCCAAATGTCTTTGGCAGTATCCTTCTTGAGAATGGTGTCAAGATCAGTGCGGTCGATGGCCTGGAAGAGGTAGTTCTTCACTTTGAGATCCTTAGCCTCAACTCATCAATTTTCTTCCGTTGTGCATCTGTCTGCACCGATCCACTTGCTGGCTCAACATAGCCAGTCTCCACCAGCCCCCAAAATTCCTTCGATTGCAGAAAGTTTTCCATAAGCATGCTCGAATGATCATAATGACCATCGAAGCGAGGAATGGATGACTGCATGAAATTTCCTTCACTGGACATCTCTCTCACACTTGTTTGAAATCACTCAAAGCTGCGGCTTTTGTTTTCAGGCCCTAGTGGGGGGCTCTGATACCAGAATGTTGGGAAACTTTGATCACAAATGAAAACAGAGCTCAACAATATTCTGGATGAATGATCTACATTCTTATTAAACAAACTTGGCTTTATATGCCTTACAGTAATAACAGAGAAGCTAAAAGAAAGCTCACATTTAGCATTACATTCGCTAACATGGTTAGTGTAAATTGAACCACTAACAGCCCCAACTAGCCCTAAAGACTAGGGATTTATTAACAGAAACAAAGAGGACTTAGTAAACTCCTAAAAACAAGAAACAACCCTTCAAAGTTACATCAGATTCGTGATCTCAATGTTTATTTCTTTTGCTTTAATCACCTATTTTCTTTTTGTTACTATTTACTTCAAGTGGCATGTATACCATGCTTTTTATAATGGAAAATGTTTGCTTGTTATACTTTTGATTTTACTGTAACTTTATGTGTCTATGCATTGACAAAATGCAGATGATGCGATGTCTATATTTGTTCAAGCCTACTACTTTAATTTGCTGTTTTTGGGGACATGAAAAAGGAATAAAAGAGGAAACTCTATCCAAAGTTTTATGAAACAAAGATTACTTAGAAGGCGAATGTAATATGGTTGAGGGAGATACTTGTGGAGATTTCATGGTTGTGGAAGAAACCATGGGATGGGCATGGTGTACCAATTTGAAATCACAAGTGAATCTCTATGAATTTCTGGACGGACAAGATCATAATGTTAAAGAGAATAATTTCATACCAGGAGTTTCATCTAAATGTATTGAAAATGTCAGGGGCCTATGTATGATATGCATAAGAAGCTTTGGAAATTTAGGAAAGTGTTAAATAAAGCAAACAATAAATTAAATTTCCAAAAAAATTATATTTGTAAAAATCGTATTGGATCGAAAACTTAGTGACCTCTCCAAGAGTTTCTATGAGTTCTGTGCAGAATTTGAAGAAATGTGACCAATTTCTAATCTCTTTCCCATGTTTCTTATACATTTGCGGAAATATTTTTGCGGTTCTCCCACTTATCTGAGACATATCCTCTTGACTTCACCTGCAAATCTCAAAAACATGTCTTTCTTTTTTAGTGGAAGACATATTCCAGTCTAAAGAGAGTTCCCCTGCAGAATGGTTTTGGAATAATGCTTCTGATGATTTACTCCAACATCTTGTCCATTAATTTTCTCAGAATCTGTGAATGGATTACTGCAACACACGATTGAAATACTGGACATCAATTCCACTAGGAGCAATTGTCTAATTCAGTTTATCCTTGATTGCTTCAATACTCTTTCTTTGGCCATTTCTTCTATTTCATGATTTGTTGAAGAGTCTTAGTGATGTTTCGTGAAGGAGGTCAGTCAATAAATGTGGGTGTTCATTGTACTATGTGTTTTGACTCCTTGACTCTGCAAATAATGGGACTCAAAAATACCATAACACGTGTTTGTTCTACTTATTCATTTTGTCATGAATGGATCTTTTATTATTTGAGGAAGCACGGTTTTACTCAAACCAATAAAAGAAATCCTTATTTTGATATCTAGGGCTGGTAAACTGGTAAGAGTAGGGTAACTTATCTTCATTCTTTCTCTAACACGCATGCTTTACCTTACCCTATTGGCTCGGTTAGAAATAGAACTAACCCTTCCTGTCTGGCATTGAATCAGATTTACTTGATACTATAAATGGGTAAATTAGTAAAATATTGCCTAATATTAATTTATAATAAAAGGCATTGTGAGCAAAGCACAAGTTATAAAATGAAAGAGAGATAAATTAACAATTAAAACTACTTTATGCGTAACTATGTCACAATCTATACACTTTCCTTGACCAGCTGTAATTGGCATTATCATACTTACATTTTCTCCTTGTACCCTTCAGCTAAATTGGTAGGAATGAACGGTTTACTTTGCCTATCGGTCTTGGTTACTTAAAACAAGTTTAAATTCTCAACCAATACATTCATATAAACATAAATTTCTTATTATTTGTAAGAACAAATCGGTTGGGAATCTTGAGATATTGAAAAGGTTCTCTAACCAATTTACACCCTTACATCATTGTGTTATTGCACCTTTCAGTGATGAATGATTTTTATGCCCTTATAGCTTGCTTTTAACTTTTCCTATTCATCATAGGGTTCTAATCAGCGGCTTGATGTGATGAGGAAGAAAAGACTTGTTCATGACGAGGTGATCGATCTGATCATTCAGAAGAGATCTATTGATCAATCGAAGGTAGATATTCTTACTCAGTTGAAGATGGTCAATTCTCAAGTTAGTGCTTTGATATTTCCATGAGGGGGAAACATCTAAGTGTATCAAAATTTCAGTATTACACATATACCTGTTAGGAGTTATTTGAACAGTTTTGAAATCACTATATTCATTCATGTCATCATTCTTATATTCCTCATTGAGCCATTATCATGCCATCCATATATTTTTCCCGTCAAAATGGTGTCAGCAGTGCACAACTCTAGATCATACAAACAACGACAGCAACAACAACAAAGCTTCTATCCCAAACAGGAGCAGATGTTTAGTAGAAACTTAGAATTTGTGCAGATACAACAAAAGTTGATAGCATATATAAAGTATGACACCTCCTTTTGCCTGTCTTACTATTCAGAAGCAGAGCACTTGTCTACCATTATATCATTTTCAGACTCTAAATCTCACCAAAGAACTACACATAGGCAATTGATAATCCGTAGTGAATAGGAAAGGGAACAAGCTGTACTAGCCTATTAGTGAATAGGAAACTGAAACTTGGTCATAATCCGTAGTGCACTGAGAAAGAACCAATGTTTTTGGTATATTACTCCTATAAAAAAAATTATTTTTTGACTTCCAATAACACTTCTCCATACTATCCTTGAACCAAAGATCACTAGTCTGTCCAATTACTTACCAGACGCCCTTCTAAGGTTTCAAGACAATAGAGGGAAGTTACTGGCCTTATGACTTAACCTTTGACAATGATATCAGACATATCGGATCTTAACCATTTCAGCCTTATAGGTCTATGCTTCCCAACAGTCTTACAAACTCTTGCAGTTTTAACCGCTCGGATGTTCTCCTGTTTTAGTTCCTGGCTAAATGACATAGGACCACTGATGACTAGGCAGCAATGATGTTTAGGCAGCACTGATGCTTAAGACATGAAGCTCTATTGTTCTGTTAAATAAGACTACCGTTGTGTGTACTTTTCAGAAATTGTGTGTTGGTTTGTAGTATCAGGTCATATCAATATCTCGTGCCTAAGTTACATTGGTTGACGGTAATCTGAACCATCTCTGTAGGATTTTATAATTTGTCTAAACCTTCTGATTTTGTAATTAGAGACATTTGGACTATCAAATAAAAATATCAAAGATTAAACATAAATATAATAAAAAGTCAAAAATAAAAAATAACAAAACTCTGCTAAAGGTAGCAAGTTATACTCAAAAGTAGCAATGTACAGGTAATAGTAACAAAGATAAAAAATTTATGCAACTTCACCATGAAGGCATCAAATAAAAATAACAAAGACTATAAATAAATAAAATAAAAATTAGAATAACAAAATTATGCTAAAGGTATCAAGTTAGACACCAAGATAAAATTCATAGGCAAAGGAAGCAATGATTAAAAATAAATGCGACACTTAATAAATAAAGGTAACTTAACTTCGACGCGAAGGTATCAAATAAAAATAACAAAGATTAAAAATAAATTCAACAAAATTAAAATGACAAAATTTTGCTAAGGGTAGCGAATTAGACCAAAAGGTAAAAATTTATAGGTAAAGGTAACAAAGATTTAAAATAAATGCAACATTTAATAAATAAATAAAGATAACAAACTTTGACAAAGATATGTAATAAAAATAACAAAAGATCAAAAATAAATATAACAAAAATGAAAAATAACAGAATTATGCTAACAAGTTAAGACACAAAGGTAACAATTCATAACTAAAGGTAACAAATATAAACAATAAATGAGACTCGAACATCTAAAGGCAACAAACTTCAACATAAAGGTAACAATAATAAATTAACGTAACACAATTAACCGAAATTTTTATAGCTAAAGGTGACAATTGATGAAGATAAGTGTCGCTTCGGGAAACATGGGTATTGAAAATCTACAACGGTAAAAAGAATAAAGAAAATAAAATTATTATAAAGGTAGTATGTTATATTAAATAGAAAGGTAATGATTCATAACCAAGGTAACAATGTTTAAAACAAATATAACAATTAATAGCTATGCATAACAAACTTCAACACAAAGGTAACATTGCATAACTAAAGATGACAAAATTCAAAAAAAGGATGACAAACTTTTCCTCATCTTATATCTATGTCCCACTCTCTCCCAAATCTAATTTAACTTTCCAATATCAACATGAAACAATCTAAATTATATAAAAAAAGTTATCAGATAATTGTATTCACTCAATTCAAAGGGGAAAACAACAATGCAGAAAAATAACAGATCACTCTGTAGAGCTAAGCTCACTCAGATCAAATCAAAGCAGCTCAAGATCTAGGAAATTGCAGAAACACTCAAAATTACAACAAACTACCCGCACTTGAATCTGAAAAGAACAGGTTTTGAGATTTGGTACCTGTTGACGAGAAAGAGCTAGATCTGAAGGAAGCGATGGAGGCTACAAGCTCGATTCCAGAAGCGGGAGGATCTTCGCGACCTCGCGAGCCTCCTTTGCCTCGATCTCCTCCATTTGTGGATTGATTTGAAATGGACGAAGCATAAAAATAAATTAGAGTAACAGCAAAACCAAAAAACTCACTATAACGATTCTCACAAATTTTGAGCACCTTCGGTTGATTCCTCCCTTTATCGAATAGATACAGCTACACTTTCCAAAATCGAGCGAAATGAAGCGAGAACAACTAGAATCATCAAATTGATGATAGACCTAAGGACAGCGTCTTTGTCATCATCGTCGATGGTGATGTGAGTTCCTCGATCTTGATGATCGGAGCGATCCGATCTCCGGTGTCATCGTCCAGGTTGGACGCCACATCGTGGAACTCATCGTCACCTCTTGATCGGCATCGGAGCTCTCCATGGCAATAATTTGAGAGAGGTTGATGAGAAACAGAACAAAAAGGGGAGGGGGAAAAAATAACCGCTGTGTCTCGGGGGTTAACATTGGAGCTTATATAGAGAGAGACTAAAGGCGGAGAGAGAAGTGGGGGCCCATTGGATGGGCTGAGCTGGCCAACTGTTAAGCCCCAAATGGAACAATTAAAGAAATAGGAGTGGGCTAATTCAAAACTTATAAAGGTCGTTGTGGGAGGCTAATAGGCTGAGATGGCAAGTTATTAGCCCTAAATAATTTAGGGGTTGTTTGGTTCATTTCCATAAAATAATGAAAATGGATTTCAGAGCATCTCCAACCATGCCCTCCAAATTCCACCCTCCAAATTAGAATATTTTAGGAATATTCTAATTTAGAGAGTGGAATTTGAAGAGTTGCTCTAATCCACACTCTCCAAATGTTTTCTTTTTTATTTTTATTTTTGTCAAAAAACTCATATAAATTAATAATGTTGGATATAGTTTACATTAATAATTTTATTTTTAATAATTTATTTTGAAAAAAATTATAACATTATAAAGGAGTCGATGAGAGCTTTAAAATGAACTCAATATTAAAAATGCATTACAACATATTAAAAAATAAAATCTGAAATAACAGTGACAAAGCATACATCGATAGAACAAGAAAGCAAATATGAATCTCTAATACAACATACCATGGGTCCCAAACATAAACCTCAAACATAAAATATGATAACATACAATTAAAATTCTCACAGGTCATTATTGTTATAACTACCGGTTCCATCCCGATCTCTCGATGAAGCGCGCTAATTGAACATTTATGGCAGAGGCATGACAACGAATGAATGTAATTAAATATTATAATTTATGCTTGTATTTTCTTATGGGGCAAGTTAAATAGATCCTCGTATTTAAAATTTCATGACTGATACTTATTTATTTAATTTAAAAAATAATAATTTTATAATAATACTAAGAATGATGGCAAAGTAGTAACTTTTAAGAAATTAAATAGTTAAAAGTGGCAAAGTTATAATTAATGAAACATGAATAGTATTTTGGAGAGACCGTCTAAATTTTCACTTCACCCTCCAAATTTAGAGGGTGAAATTTGGAGATCTCCAAATATAGAGTGATTGGAGAGGTTCCACTCTCCAAATTTGGAGATTTTGCCATTTTAGAGGCTGGTTGGAGATGGCCTCAAGGCAAATATCTATTTTCAAAAAAAAATTGGATCTCAAAGGCAGTGTTTTCAAAGGCGCGCGCCTCATTGCGCCTCATGCGCCTTACGATGCGGGGCGGTGGCGAAGCGCTTGAGAGATTGAATATAGTGAAACTCCTCTCTTGCCGTGGACGTAGATCAATTTGATCGAACCACGTAAACATTGTGTGTTTGTGATTGTCTCTCTATTTTTCTGGTTTTGTGTTTGATTATCCCAACAATTTTTGTCTCATTTAATTAGGAAATTATCCTGGGATTTCTCAATCTTCCCCAACAGCATTCCCTTCAAACTTTTTCTTCGTGGCATCCCAAATGTCTTTGGCAGTATCCTTCTTGAGAATGGTGTCAAGATCAGTGCGGTCGATGGCCTGGAAGAGGTAGTTCTTCACTTTGAGATCCTTAGCCTCAACTCATCAATTTTCTTCCGTTGTGCATCTGTCTGCACCGATCCACTTGCTGGCTCAACATAGCCAGTCTCCACCAGCCCCCAAAATTCCTTCGATTGCAGAAAGTTTTCCATAAGCATGCTCGAATGATCATAATGACCATCGAAGCGAGGAATGGATGACTGCATGAAATTTCCTTCACTGGACATCTCTCTCACACTTGTTTGAAATCACTCAAAGCTGCGGCTTTTGTTTTCAGGCCCTAGTGGGGGGCTCTGATACCAGAATGTTGGGAAACTTTGATCACAAATGAAAACAGAGCTCAACAATATTCTGGATGAATGATCTACATTCTTATTAAACAAACTTGGCTTTATATGCCTTACAGTAATAACAGAGAAGCTAAAAGAAAGCTCACATTTAGCATTACATTCGCTAACATGGTTAGTGTAAATTGAACCACTAACAGCCCCAACTAGCCCTAAAGACTAGGGATTTATTAACAGAAACAAAGAGGACTTAGTAAACTCCTAAAAACAAGAAACAACCCTTCAAAGTTACATCAGATTCGTGATCTCAATGTTTATTTCTTTTGCTTTAATCACCTATTTTCTTTTTGTTACTATTTACTTCAAGTGGCATGTATACCATGCTTTTTATAATGGAAAATGTTTGCTTGTTATACTTTTGATTTTACTGTAACTTTATGTGTCTATGCATTGACAAAATGCAGATGATGCGATGTCTATATTTGTTCAAGCCTACTACTTTAATTTGCTGTTTTTGGGGACATGAAAAAGGAATAAAAGAGGAAACTCTATCCAAAGTTTTATGAAACAAAGATTACTTAGAAGGCGAATGTAATATGGTTGAGGGAGATACTTGTGGAGATTTCATGGTTGTGGAAGAAACCATGGGATGGGCATGGTGTACCAATTTGAAATCACAAGTGAATCTCTATGAATTTCTGGACGGACAAGATCATAATGTTAAAGAGAATAATTTCATACCAGGAGTTTCATCTAAATGTATTGAAAATGTCAGGGGCCTATGTATGATATGCATAAGAAGCTTTGGAAATTTAGGAAAGTGTTAAATAAAGCAAACAATAAATTAAATTTCCAAAAAAATTATATTTGTAAAAATCGTATTGGATCGAAAACTTAGTGACCTCTCCAAGAGTTTCTATGAGTTCTGTGCAGAATTTGAAGAAATGTGACCAATTTCTAATCTCTTTCCCATGTTTCTTATACATTTGCGGAAATATTTTTGCGGTTCTCCCACTTATCTGAGACATATCCTCTTGACTTCACCTGCAAATCTCAAAAACATGTCTTTCTTTTTTAGTGGAAGACATATTCCAGTCTAAAGAGAGTTCCCCTGCAGAATGGTTTTGGAATAATGCTTCTGATGATTTACTCCAACATCTTGTCCATTAATTTTCTCAGAATCTGTGAATGGATTACTGCAACACACGATTGAAATACTGGACATCAATTCCACTAGGAGCAATTGTCTAATTCAGTTTATCCTTGATTGCTTCAATACTCTTTCTTTGGCCATTTCTTCTATTTCATGATTTGTTGAAGAGTCTTAGTGATGTTTCGTGAAGGAGGTCAGTCAATAAATGTGGGTGTTCATTGTACTATGTGTTTTGACTCCTTGACTCTGCAAATAATGGGACTCAAAAATACCATAACACGTGTTTGTTCTACTTATTCATTTTGTCATGAATGGATCTTTTATTATTTGAGGAAGCACGGTTTTACTCAAACCAATAAAAGAAATCCTTATTTTGATATCTAGGGCTGGTAAACTGGTAAGAGTAGGGTAACTTATCTTCATTCTTTCTCTAACACGCATGCTTTACCTTACCCTATTGGCTCGGTTAGAAATAGAACTAACCCTTCCTGTCTGGCATTGAATCAGATTTACTTGATACTATAAATGGGTAAATTAGTAAAATATTGCCTAATATTAATTTATAATAAAAGGCATTGTGAGCAAAGCACAAGTTATAAAATGAAAGAGAGATAAATTAACAATTAAAACTACTTTATGCGTAACTATGTCACAATCTATACACTTTCCTTGACCAGCTGTAATTGGCATTATCATACTTACATTTTCTCCTTGTACCCTTCAGCTAAATTGGTAGGAATGAACGGTTTACTTTGCCTATCGGTCTTGGTTACTTAAAACAAGTTTAAATTCTCAACCAATACATTCATATAAACATAAATTTCTTATTATTTGTAAGAACAAATCGGTTGGGAATCTTGAGATATTGAAAAGGTTCTCTAACCAATTTACACCCTTACATCATTGTGTTATTGCACCTTTCAGTGATGAATGATTTTTATGCCCTTATAGCTTGCTTTTAACTTTTCCTATTCATCATAGGGTTCTAATCAGCGGCTTGATGTGATGAGGAAGAAAAGACTTGTTCATGACGAGGTGATCGATCTGATCATTCAGAAGAGATCTATTGATCAATCGAAGGTAGATATTCTTACTCAGTTGAAGATGGTCAATTCTCAAGTTAGTGCTTTGATATTTCCATGAGGGGGAAACATCTAAGTGTATCAAAATTTCAGTATTACACATATACCTGTTAGGAGTTATTTGAACAGTTTTGAAATCACTATATTCATTCATGTCATCATTCTTATATTCCTCATTGAGCCATTATCATGCCATCCATATATTTTTCCCGTCAAAATGGTGTCAGCAGTGCACAACTCTAGATCATACAAACAACGACAGCAACAACAACAAAGCTTCTATCCCAAACAGGAGCAGATGTTTAGTAGAAACTTAGAATTTGTGCAGATACAACAAAAGTTGATAGCATATATAAAGTATGACACCTCCTTTTGCCTGTCTTACTATTCAGAAGCAGAGCACTTGTCTACCATTATATCATTTTCAGACTCTAAATCTCACCAAAGAACTACACATAGGCAATTGATAATCCGTAGTGAATAGGAAAGGGAACAAGCTGTACTAGCCTATTAGTGAATAGGAAACTGAAACTTGGTCATAATCCGTAGTGCACTGAGAAAGAACCAATGTTTTTGGTATATTACTCCTATAAAAAAAATTATTTTTTGACTTCCAATAACACTTCTCCATACTATCCTTGAACCAAAGATCACTAGTCTGTCCAATTACTTACCAGACGCCCTTCTAAGGTTTCAAGACAATAGAGGGAAGTTACTGGCCTTATGACTTAACCTTTGACAATGATATCAGACATATCGGATCTTAACCATTTCAGCCTTATAGGTCTATGCTTCCCAACAGTCTTACAAACTCTTGCAGTTTTAACCGCTCGGATGTTCTCCTGTTTTAGTTCCTGGCTAAATGACATAGGACCACTGATGACTAGGCAGCAATGATGTTTAGGCAGCACTGATGCTTAAGACATGAAGCTCTATTGTTCTGTTAAATAAGACTACCGTTGTGTGTACTTTTCAGAAATTGTGTGTTGGTTTGTAGTATCAGGTCATATCAATATCTCGTGCCTAAGTTACATTGGTTGACGGTAATCTGAACCATCTCTGTAGGATTTTATAATTTGTCTAAACCTTCTGATTTTGTAATTAGAGACATTTGGACTATTACATTACTTTTATGTTTGTTTCTTGTTGAGGAAACTCTCAAAAGGTTTGATCTTCAGAGCACTTAGGATGGTGCCTTTTATTGGTCACATTGAGATCTGTATTTAGTATGTCATGGCAATGTATTGTATGGCGTTGGAAAAGAATTTTTAGGTTATGGATTGGTCCAACAACTGAGATTACAATTATATAACTGATTGGTGTTTGCTGTCATTTATTAGTGATTACCAGGTGTGTTGTACTCATACTGGATTTGGCAACCAGTTTGAATGCTCCATCCAAGTTACAGCTTTGTTGTTTACCTTTTTCCTCATGATTTTTGATTTTTTGAACTGCCTACATATGGAGTTTTTGCTTTTGTCATATTGCACTGTTATACGTGAATCATGATTTTCTTACATATGGAATTTCTACTTCTGTTCTATCACACTTTATTTGTGAATCTAATTGGGCGATTTTCTTACAAGTTAATTTTATAGTTTATAACTTGGTTTAGTGGACAATTGATCACTAACTACTTTTTGTGTTGTAGAGAGGAAATAAAGGAAGCACTGCATCGAAGGTTTGGGAGGAAAAAGGTTTTTTTCCCCTCCCTTCAAGCTCATTCATGTCTGAGGACAAAGTGTTTTTTTTGCTGCTCTGCCACCTTGTGGCCATGCGCAGCTAATATATGATATATCAACAACTGATCATGTGAAAAACAAGTTACACATGGAAGTCAATGTATCGAGAGAGAAAATAAATGCCTCGTTTAATAACTTTAACCGAAAAAGTTTTCTCTCTTGGGTTGTGGGCTGACAATTTTATTTAAGCTACTTGTCGAATGTATGCAGCATAAATCTTGCGTCAGAAGGCTGAAGGTAGTAGGAAGATGATTTGGATTTTGTACTATGGCTCCCAATGGATGCATTGTGGAGAACGACAAACTTATTACTTGAATGTATTTTTGTGATAAAAGGAAGATCAAAATGCATCTGCCATCTGGAATTACGTAGGGAACAAAGATATGATGGTTATTTTCATATATTAGGAAATCCCTTAAAAGAGCTCAATATAAAACAGGATTATGGAGTCACAAAGATTTTTCTCAGACATGTAATAGGGGTGTTCAATAGTCCGAATGTTCAGAAAGTATTTTGACACAACATTTTCTTTGAACCTAATACAGGAAAGGATTATATAGTATATGCGAGAGTTCTGTATATAAAATGAGGCTGTATGTGAGTGAATATGCATTGGCTTGATAGTGATTAATAACTTTACAAAATTGATTGAGGCATTTACTCTGCATAATTAGATTTGACGTCTTCCCTGTTAAAGCAGCAATGTACGTGCGAAAGCTATCGTCATGCTTTAACTCTTTGGTTGGAGCATCTTAAAGTATATTTCCAAGTCTTAATGCCTGAGTACATGATATCTCATGAGTACATATGTCATGAACCTGGCATTTGAAGTGTCATGGAAACACAACCGCAGACAACAAAATGTTCGACTTCTTTGTTGGGGAGCTGGTAGTTGTTACATTATTATTATGGCCATCACATATTGAGTTTATGGGTCAATGTTCGTCAAGTGTCCTCACTGATCTAACTGATAGAATATTTGATATATCATAGCTCATGAAGATTGAATTGTCTAGAAACACTATCTAACCTAGGACAAATTATTGGCTGGATATTTTTTCTTGTTAGTATAATTCGTTTAGTAAATACTTACACCATTAGGCAGGGAAAAAGATGCTTGAAGAGGGAGTTCCAAGGTTTCTATGCTGCATAAAATTGCTCATTACAGTCTATTCTAATATTCTTTCAATCTGATTCATGTGTTAATTGGCAAAAGTTGAATACTTTAAGATTCTTTTCGGTTTGTTTTAGCCTCTAAAAAGTACAAAATAACAAGTTTCCATTGTTAAAGGTAAGTTCATTATCTTGTTTTTTCCTAACCAATCAAGTAGTTTTTTTGTTGAAAACTTTGCTTTGCTTCTGTTTTTTTATTTATTTCTGTAATATATTTCACACTTAATTATATGGATGACACACTATCTTTGACTTCGATTGTTTATATATAACTACTGTTTATGGATGACACACTATCTTTGACTTTGATTGTTTATATATATAGCTACTGTTTAGCATTGTCTTTGACTAATATATATATTAAATCTACTCCAGAAATCTGTGGCCTAAAGAGAAAATCACAGAGTTACAAGGATGAGGAGTACTATATAAGTTCCATCCCTAAAAGTCAAGTATGTCATCTATATTTAACTGATTTAAGTTCTCGCAAATACTGTTCGCTTAACTATTGTGATCTTGTAATATAGTAACAATAACATTTACACGGAACAGTGTTATATTGATTTTGTTACTGAGATTTTGATCTGCCTTTCCTTTTAGTGGTTGTTTGTGAACTATGGTTTTGCAATAAATACTAACTAAACTTTCACTCTGATGTTCTTTAGCATTACGAGGCAGGCTTATCAGTAAAGGGCAATGATGGTTTTCAATCAAGCAGGTAATTCTACTTGGAATCCATTTCTTATTTATGATTTGCTTATTACTTTCACTGGGGTAGTATGAGACATATTTTACTTGTTTGCTTTATAGTTGCAACCTATGTTATCAGGTACTTCTATCATGAAGCCGTATCTCTACCTGGTACATACCTGACATGTAACCATACCCAAATTTCATGGACACTCCTTGGATACATGCATGCATTTATTCAGACATGTACCAATTATAAGATATATGTTTTAATTTAAAATACTTGCTAAACACTTCTTGGATGTATATCCTACACTTTATGTCTATTTCTTAAACTCATTAGACTTGGGTCTGGTTCATTTCAACCCATACCCAACTTGAAAACTACTACTTTAAAGGGTTGTTTGGGTGTCTAATTAAAAAATGAGTAGTCTCCAATTTATAATTATCGACATAATAAAAGAAACTTAAAAATGTGATAAGAATTTTAATTATAATAACACATGAATCAGTGTTTTCAAAGGCGCGCGCCTCATTGCGCCTCATGCGCCTTACGATGCGGGGCGGTGGCGAAGCGCCCCACATCTAATGCAGCAGCGCCTTTTGTGCCTCGCGTACATCCTTACTTTGTGCAGGGTGCATGTAGTACATATCTCCATATAGTTTTGTTTGTTAACATTTCAATCGAGTCTTTATACTTGATATTCCATATCCCAAAAAGCAAAATAAATCCATTAGGCCTTTTTAATAGCCTTCGATTGAGGACCATTACTAATCCTTTGCTTGGATATTAGTCTTGATTTAACATTTGATTTGAAAATTGATGAATTTTGCTACTATGTTGAGTTTTAGCATTAGAATTAAGGCATTATATTGTGATTTTGTAGTAAGTTATTATTTATCATGATATTTTTCATGTAAATTCTTAAAACATGTTCTTTCGGGTTTGATTACATATATTGAAAAATTATGTGCGGTGTGCGCATCACATCACTCGGGCGCGCGCATCACATTGCGCCTTGCGCATATGTGCGTAATATTGCTTTGCGCCCCGCATTGCGCCTCGCGCATTGACAACACTGACATGAATTAAAAAAACAATAAGGATCTCAGGTAAAATATGTTGCCATGTCCCCGTACCCTACATTTTACAATTTTTCTGTGTCCCGTCCCTATATTGCATCTGTACCTACCCGTTTCCATGCAACTTAGGTTGCAACTTGGAAGCAGATTTAGTATGTATCAGCAAAAGGATCGGCCTACAACTGGTAGAAATAGGGATGACTTCATTTTAGAAGTTAGATGTTTAATTTCTTCAAATATGAACATATGTTTGCTGTTTCTTAAATCAATCTATATTATAAAAAGAGAATATAGCAATGCGAAATTTATGTATTGAATAACTCTGGGTGAATCAGACTCTTGAAAAGTCTGAAACTGTGGGATGAAACTGTGGAATGGCTTACACGGTACCAATTCTTGTAGCTTCCTGTAACTAACGTCTGTCTACTTCCAAGAAAATGGAATAAAGTGAAATGGCAAAGTTAATTGCTTTCTTGCCATCATCTTTGTTGGAAAACTATAAAATAAGCTTGCATATAGAATTAGTTTTTTGGAAAAAGGACCATTCACACTCTTCTTGCAAGGAGGCAATCTCGTCTATAAAAGTGGAGAAAGGGTCTTACATTTTACACAAATCGTTGGCTATAGTTAGACTAAGGTTAAAAAAAATGAAAAAGTTGTTTGTAAACTGATTTGGTTATGTTTTTTAAGCCCTATGTACCTTGTCTATAGTAGTGATATACTTGTATACTGGCTAAAGCCTTATAGCTAGAGAGTCCTAGTTGCGCCTTGCGCATATGTGCGTAATATTGCTTTGCGCCCCGCATTGCGCCTCGCGCATTGACAACACTGCTCAAAGGAATCCATAACTTGTGTGTGGTGTGGAATGATTAAGTGAAAAATAGAAAAACATATCCAAACTCATGTTTGTTTCATTACCAAATAATTTAAGAAGTTATGAGAGTAAATTATATTTTTACCGACGCTAAGTTAAAATGTCGCTAATAATATACACTTTTAGCGACGCTAGTTATAAACGTCGGGAAAATTATATTTTTTGCCGACGCTAACTAAAAACATTGGGAAAAAGACAAAAAAATTCAAACCAACGTAATGCAGTTCCTTTTCTACATTTTATATTCCTCAGAGGTTTTTGCTGTGATCTGTCCTTGGTTGACCACCATTCATAGTCCGTGGTCAAGCTCCAAAGAGAAGTTCAGCAGATTGCTTGCTAATTTTATTTCAACTTACGATATCTATTCTTTATTATTCTTACTTGCTAAGGAGCTCGTAAACCGTTCGACAAGCCATTTTCCTTCCATGTATTTCTTGGTCACCTTATCAATGTCTATTCACTACCTTTTATTGAGGGCATGTAAGATACCCTTTTTCTGATTACTAATAATTCTGTCATAATAACGAATGGAAATTATAACCTTGTGTTCATCCGCATGCAAAAGGTTGGTTAAAACTGTTCAATGATGGGAGGCACATTGATTCTCCTGTTAGAGGATAATTGTTACATCTTAAATTCATATAATCTTTGTTCTCTTATTTTGCAGTTTAGATGCTGCAGTTCTTGACCTAGTTGCTGACGACATTTCTGGTTTGCAAAAGCAAAAATCATCATATCATTGGGATAAGGTATGGTATTTAAATTGAAGAGGCGCACTTTTTGGTTTGCAGGAGCAAAACTCATGAAGATTGAAATTTTCTTTTAACAGAGAAGTAAGAAGTATATTAAATTGAATAATGGAGAGCATGTTACTGCTACAGGAAAGGTATTATTTCAAACATCCTTGTTCATGTTCAGCATAAGGATCAATCTTTACTTCACAGGATTTACGGTTACATGGAAAGTCATGCTATTTTTCCTAATAAGGGCATCTAAACTTGGAAGGGTTATGGAATGGTTTGTTGCTTGAATGGAAATGCAGTGGCAAAATAGAGAGAAAGTGAGTCTAAAAACATAAAATAAATTGAACTAGTTTAAAAAATCACTTTGTGGTGGTATGTAAATTTGACCCTATTTGTAAATCGGGCTTTCTCACCTAGAAGGTCAATAAAGAAGTCCTCTTTTATTCAATAGCTAAGAACATGCGCCATGGTGTATCATGTGTAATTTGTTATATGTAATGATCTAGAAAGCACTAATACTTCAAAGTGAGTCCATTTTGTTTATGTTATGTCATATCTGCTTCATGGTGTATTCTTGGTACGGTGCTATTTCTAATGATCTGGGAAGCACAAGCACTTCAAAGTGAGTCCATATTTTTGATGGTATGTATCAGACGTTGACACTCTCTTAAACTATGTCAGCATTGCAGAGCTGTGTCGGAATTGGCAAAAGCAAAACTAAAGCTTTTTTATATTTTCCCAATTCGTGATTGGCAACTCTGAACCCACATATTTCATATTTTCACATAAAATGGAGATCTCTTGACGTAAGTGCATACTAGTTAGTATGACACAACTATATGGATTTTGATGTTTATATATGAAGACTTGCATATGTAGTCTTACCACCATCTCCTTGTATCCTACTATTAAAATTTAATTTCTCCTGAATATATATGTAGCTTTAGTATGAACCTTATTATTCAAAATATGAGAAAAGGATAGTATGATGCTAATCTTAGTGATGGGAAAAGAAACCACTCTTGTCCCAAAAACTTGAGTCCTAACTTTGAGGCAGATGTTTTTACGGAGTTAATCTAACAATGTTCCCTGTCTCATGCGAAGATGATAAAAATAACTTTGCCGACAAATATTACTCGTTTGTCTATGTGAATATAAACATTTGAAATAAAATTGGAACCTAGGACCTAACCTTCCAGAGCGCTGATCACATTTCAGTCAGACAGATTTAGGAAATTTTATAATGAGGACAGATATGTATTGGAAGTTGGGAGATCTTCTATCAAAATATTGAGCTACAGGTTTTGAAACAACAGTTCAAATCTACCAATTTATTATTATTTCAATCGACACCTTTGGTCATTGATGTGCTAAGTGATGTTGGAGTAAATAGAACCAGATCTTTATTGATCTAGAAAGTTGAATGTATCTAAGGGAACTCTGTCTTCGATTATCCTTTTTAAACATACTTTTTGTTTCTTCTTGTCCATTTTTATGCTTATGATGGTTAGATCAAGACGGAGAGCGGTCGAAAAGTAAAGGCAAGTAAAACAGGCATATACAAGAAGTGGAAGGAAAGGTCACATAAACAGATTTCTCTTAATGGAAAAGCTACAGAGGACATTTCTGAAGGGGGAACTGTTCATACAGGTGATCTTATTAGTTACTATACTTTCAGTCAGGTTTCATATTGTTGTAACATAAATATCCACCAGTATGTCAGAAAAAGCTCATGCTGTTTATTTTCCATTGAACGTCAAGGTTTCATATTTGTTTATTTAGCATGCTATTAAGTTAAGTGCATGGAGATAGAAGCCAATAGAGGAGAAAACTGTGTTGTCTTTGCAATAACACAACTAATATATTCAAAGGAAACCGTCCAGGAATTTATGAAAACTGAAACATTTTGTTAGACACGCTAATAGTATATGTACACAGAAGATTCAGTAACGGTTAAGTTGCTAAATTCATCATGACGGTTTTATTTAGTGCCTATGAGAGAGTTTAAGCTTTAATGTGTTTATATTACTACTGTAATTTTGGCCCTTCATGTGATGCTATAATCTTACTTTTTCATCATCACATCAAACTTCTTACCATAGACAATGTTCTTGCTGAATACCATAAATTTTTCGCTTACTTTCCACAAGAAGAGATTTAGATGATTATCATCCCCTTTCCCAATTGCTTCACTGTTTGTGGCCATAGTTTAATCAGGCACTGCAACCTTCAGGGTAGCAAATAGTGCAGGCCTCTGCTCTTTTTTGTGTGTTTTTGAAATGCTCAATTTCTGTTTTACTTCCAAAAAAAGGCCCGGTTAATTAAATGTTGGGACAAATTTTCGAAACCAACCCATTTGACGTTTTTATTGCAAAAAACAACCCCTTTCACATTTAATTAGAGAAACCGACCTGGTTTCAGCACTGTCGCTGAAACCAGGTCGGTTTCGATAAAAAACTTTACGAAACTTCACGGGAGTTCAACTCCCGTGAAGTTTAGTACGTTTTTAAACTTCACGGGAGTTGAACTCCCGTGAAGTTTAATTCCCCCAATAACCTCGGAAATTAGCCTGCAACTTCACGGGAGTTCAACTCCCGTGAAGATGCAGTCCATATTTTCCAGCGGAAGAATTTACCATGCATCTTCACGGGAGTTGAACTCCCGTGAAGTTGCAGGCTAATTTCCGAGGTTATTGGGGGAATTAAACTTCACGGGAGTTCAACTCCCGTGAAGTTTACATGCATCTTCACGGGAGTTGACCTCCCGTGAAGTTGCAGGTTTTGCAAAAAACATGCACAGCATGCATACGTCTACCTATTTAACTCATATATACACCTATTTACCTGTTGACAATAATTACTGCAATATATATATTATTTAAACACGCACGAATCAAACAATACGCAAAAAGATCATATATCGAGCTATAATTGATCCATAAAAGTATAGTATTTAAAAATTCATACAATTTACAAATTTTAACAAAATAAGTTCAAATACAACCCAATATAGCTCCTCTCCTTCCTCTCCCTCTCTTCCCCCTCCCCCTCGCTCTTCCCCGCCCCCCGCGCTGATGAGCCTCGACTATCTGAGTATCCGGCTGTGTGTGAGGCTGCGAAGTGCCGGCTCCATCAGCATGTGAAGTGCCGGCTTCATCAGCATGTGAAGTTCCGGCTCCATCAGCATGCGAAGTGCCGGCTCCATCAGCATGCGAAGTGCCGCCGTCATCGTCACGTGGCCGTCGGCGCCGAGTGTACGCTTGCCCAAATGATCGAGACCTGTCCTCACGGCCTGCGAACTCGTCGACGTGAGTCTTATGAAACACCTGTGCTATGGTCTTCTTGATCCTGCCGAGGAGCCCTAACGCCACCTGATCCTGAATCTCAGGCACGGTCGCATCAATATCAGCCTCAATGCTATCAAAAGCACGGACCTGTGAGGTAAATAATTTAATAAGTACCAACTCAAGAAAAAAATATTATAATTTAGCTTAGAAACTTACGTAATCTCTCTCGTTCATCCCACTAGGGATGTAACTGTCTGTCGGTGGCCGTGGCATGTGTCCAGCTAAGGGCTGTGGGTCACGTGTGATCCATCTACGTGTGATACCCCAATACCAACCCATATACGCGGTATAGTCAACAGCCGTGGGCCTCGTATCCTGGATGAAATCCCACCTGTGAGCCCACCTATCTATGTAGGCCGCACGGACTACGGCCCAGTCGGTATGGTGCGAAGTAGGTCGCCGCCGACGAGAGATCTGCTCAACAGGATCTGGTACATGCTGAGAGAGCGTAAACTGTCGTAGCACACGGTCAGGGACATGCATCTCCACGATCTCCCAACAAATCAATGGAACTCTCGCTCTCCACAAGTCGGGACTATCTCGGCAGATGGGTGCAAGAGAATGCATATCCAGCTCCGGCGGTGTATAGGGTCTCCACTTGAACTGAAATAAAATAAAAAATTTATCAGTATCAACAACAAAACTATAATATTCATAACGACTTGAGATTTATATTTACCTGTTCGTGTTGGAGACCATCAAGCTCATTTCGGTAAAACTCACGATGGCGCGTCGCTGATCGGTACTTAGCGTACCGCACGTTATACCTATATGCAGAATAGAGAATATATAAGTAAAAATTCAGCACGAATAAAATTTGTGTGTACAATTATACCTGTACGCCAAAGGAAACCGCCCTTGTAGGTCACGGTGCACGAGTAAAGTAGGGCGTCCAATATGAATGCGCTCCCATGACCAAATCTGTATCAATGTGCAGCATCCCTTGAATTCTTTATTCTGCATCAGGGATACTCTACTCAACTCTCGATACAAATATGCCAACACCGCACTGCCCCACGATAGTGCGCCGCATACACCAAAATCCTCCAGCAGTGGCAGCCATCGTGCATGTACGAGAGTCTTGCTCGCATCCGGAAAAAGCACGCACCCTATCATGTGCAATATGTAAGCCCGAGCATGGAACTGAAGCGTCTCATTACTGGCATCCTCTGGTATGTCGCCCTGAAATGTCTGACGAAGCCACGATAGCTTCATCGCACCACTCCTCAAGTCGGGAACCTGTCCAAGAAGCCGGGCACATACCTCGGGCCAACTATGATCATCGGTGCCCGTAACTGGCGGCCCATCGATCCGGAGCCCAAGAATGACGGCCACGTCCTGTAAAGTGATGGTGCACTCCCCTATATGCATGTGAAAGGTGTTGGTCTCTGGCCTCCACCTCTCAATCAAAGCAGTGATAAGCGGCCAATCAAGCCTGATATATCGAACCGTCGAACACTCACGAAAACCAGCCTGAGAGATCAGCGCTAGAACTCTCTCATCCTTAATGACCCAACCTGAATGGCTCTGGGAATGCTCGATCATGGTGATATCAGGTACGGGCTGCACGTCAAAAAGAATTGATTAAGTATAATGCGAAAAATTAAAATTAGTGTCAATGCTAACTAGCATATACAAAAGATGTTTTACCTGTCCTGAGCCAATATAATCTGAAACGTGGCTCGCCTGGAGGGTCAAAACATCGGGGCGTCTCAGTCCCGGATCCATAATGAATATAACTGAGAATTAGATTAGAAGACAATGCTCAATGTGTTAGATCTTTTTTGTTAAAATACTCATCTAGTTATATATAAACAACAAACGAATGCGCAACGTGAAGAAAGCAATAACTTGAAACCAAACATTAAATTTATATAACATAGTACGAAACGATACAAATTACAATCACAAATGAGATACGGAAACAAACAACTCAC